CCAACCCACCAACCCACCAACCCACCAACATTCCACCAACCCACCAACCCACCCATTCCACCAACCAACAAATCAACTACTATCTAACCATTTCCCGCCGAATAGATAATTTGTTACTCAAATTACTCTTTCARTTTCTATCTATTAGAAAAAAAAGTAATATCGAAGGTAATAAATGACAGCAAGAATGAAGGGCTTCGTTCATGTGACAGGTGTCACTCCAGCATTGCCATGATTTGGACCCGTCAATAATTTGGTCTGCAATAGGTGAATTTAGAATTCTTGCCGTGCATCTTTGCAGCTTTATATATTCGTTCCATTCCAGACACAGTTATTTTAAACAGTTTCTTAAGGACGTTCACGAGCAAAAGATCCCATCGTCGGATTTTTAAAAAAATTTGTATATCAAAGAACAACATACTAGAAGTAAAATAAGCAAATAAAAAATGGGGTCCTCGATTTCGTTTAGCCATCAGAATACGTGGAAGTTCACCATTTTTACGGTAAAAACACGCGAACAAAAAAAATTCAAAAAATAGTCAAATTTTGTATTGAAAAAAATCAATTGAATGTCACCATTTTTCACAGAAGACTAGAAAATAACCAAATAACTAGTTAGCATTTGAAATTTGTGTTAAAAATTAGAAATATAGAGTGTTATTGTGCTATAAGTATGGACTTGACTTAACTTTGCGTCACGTGAAATTCTATTCCAATTATGCACAAAATATGTAATTTAGATTTGATCCCATCGCGTCAGATTTTAAAAAAAATTTCTCTAAAGTTAGGAATTACCGAGTACTTATAAAAAAAAACAAAATAAAAAGGGAGGGTGGGGGGTGCCCGACTTCGTTTTAGAGCTATAAGAGATTAAAGATGTTCCTATAGCATTTTGCTTAAAACATTGGAATGACGTCATTCCAATGTTTTAAGCGATGGGCGCTTGCTCACTAAACTCATTCGCAGAAAGGATGCGCGCGAACAATGCCCATGAACGTCCTTAAACAGCACTTGATTTTATGAGCTGAATAATCTAGCTTGTTCTTCGAAGTCGACTTCACTACCCAAAAATTCTCTGTAACTTGTGGTGCAATGGCGTCGCGACACAAGTTGCATGGTGTATTGCAGCGTGTAATATACAGCACAATTTTTAAAATGTTGCGAGACAAGTTGCAGCAATCGTTGCGAAAAGTAGGATTCGTTTCTACTTTTGGCAACGATTGCGTCTCCGTTGCACTGTGTGATCACTCTTGCAACTTGTGTCGCAACGCCGTTGCGAGACAAGTTGCAGCATCAGAAAAAATCTGTTAACATTTGGTCATAAAACAGAACCTTTCAAAAAAAACAGAAGTGGATTTGAAAACCCCGGGCTTTCCTGAACATTTTGGTATATAATTCATCGGAATTTGTTAAAATTTAGAACCGTATTTTTGCTGATTTTATAAGCTCATACTATCTGTTGGCCTATACATTCGCCTCTCATGGTTTCTTAGGTTTTGTAGCCTCCAAAACACGCTAACTACTAGTTAGCGAAAGAACAGAAGATTCACGGGTCTTTTAGGATGTTTTGTCACGCAGTTTACAAATGTATGGGCAATTTTTTCCAATGGAAAATTGCTCCGTGTAATTGCTCCTTTATGCCAGTGACCTTGCTAATATGAAATTCTCGCGAGGAGTGATTTCGCAATTTCGGAGTTTCGTAAGGGGGAAATTTTTCTCGACCGAGTATAATTTCGTAACGTTGCGAAAACCAAACGTGCAAAAATGTAGTTTTAATTTGAAAGCTACTTAATGTAATTTCCAGTTACGCACAAATAAATAATGAAAAATGGAATACTCATTTCCTTATTATAGTTCATGTATGAACATTTTGAAAGTGAAAACTTTCATTCGATGAACACAAACTATGCGGATAAATATTTCCGCGCAGATACAGTTAAATTACTAGATGATAAGTAAGAAAGCATGAAAAAAGGCAATTTCCTTTTCGATTAACTATTAGTATTAATCATATAGGATTAATTAACAAATAATAACTATTTTGGAACGATTTTTTAGGGAAAAAATTCTATATTCCCCTAATACTGTGAACAAAGTACAGAACCATTTTTACTTTACTGTGCACGGTCAACGTCATATAACAATAGAATAACTAATTGTGTGGACTTGAAATCCCGTCCAGTTCTATTTGGAGCCTTTGAAATGTCTTCTCATGCTCATTAATTATTCGGGAGGTTATTTGTTTAGGATTGAAAGACTTAAGGGACAGATATGTCCCTGAACTGAATTAATTTTGATCCAGTCCAAGGACTTGAACAAAATTAATCCAGTCCTTTCACAGGAATTTACCAGGTTTCAAGTAACATCATGTGACCCAAAAAGTAGCCCATTGATTGGCTGGTTTACTCATGAATTATTAATGAGTATGATTGTTCAATTCGTTATTTTCTCAATAATCGAGGGTCTCCGTTACGTGCGGACAGACTTAGCGGCACCTTAGTGTTTGACTTTCAGTTTTAAGGTAAAGGTGATCGATTGGCCGTCTTATCATCTTTTGTTGTATTCACTTGTGGTGAGCTGTTAATATCAACCGACGTCATTACTGTAACAAAGCTTTATTTGCCCCCTGAACGCCCCACAATGCCTTGCGATTGAAGATTGTCACCGTATCGTATGAGTGTTCCGTTACGTTTATTTTCTCGTCATATTTTTTCGCAACTCTTATTTTTGACGACCCTGTAATCTAATTTCCAAAAGAGCACATTTGGTTAATCAAAAAAACACGACGTTGATATCAAAATGTCGGTAGGTTGCGTTTTTATTAGTACAGAAATAAAATGTGTTTTATTGATTGAAATTTTTATTCGTAAAACATTCTTAAAGTTTAAAAAATAATCGAAAGGTTGTTTTTTTTACTAGTGAAGGTATCCGTTTTCTTAGCTTGTGATGCATACATAAACTGCTTCGAACTCCAATATCATTCCTATCTACTGGGTTTTCACAGATTTAGCAGTGTAAATCTCTACAATGTGCTCAATACCTTTCAATTTTTCGCCTTTATTCTTGAAATGCTTATCGAGTATATTAACGAGTTTGGTTTGGAAACTAGAACGATGGTCTTCGCTGGCGGAGGCAACACCTCCAAACGACGCAAAAAATTGGACACATTGATTGAAATTCATCGCTTGAAAATTTCTAAGTTTTAAATTCTCCTGAAAATTTTCAAACAGATTAGAATTTAACAAGGCTTTACGCCATTTGAAATCGTGTTCAAATGGAGCCTTGGTTTTGTTATAGCTTTCATATAGAATTTTGTAGGTGTCCAGGACCCACTGAGGACTTTCCGTCTCGCTTGGTAGGTTTGTTATGTAGCCTAGCGTGCCATTTGGTTTGAGGATGCGGTACATCTCTTGGTATGCATCTTGGTTGGCAAACCAATGGAAACATCCTGCTCCTAGAATGGCATCGACACTGCTGTCTGGAAATGCTGAAAATATTAGAATAAGGAAACAGAAATGAGGGAAAGAAACAGAAGAAGGCTGTTATACATACGTACACCGACACGAGTGAAAAACGTCTGCGCATGCTCTGAATCCGAATGCAAATTAGTCAAAAAGTAAATTTGGCTTTCAAACATTCCTGATAAATTGGACTTCACAAAATGCCAAAACTTAGTGTCCATGCTTGAAACTTAAGGCTAATTCTTTCATATTGTGTTTGTTTATACAGTATCTTGGGGTCTGACAAAAGTATACTCTCGGACTTTTTTGTATACTTGGAGAAAACAAACATTTATTTTCTCACTCAAACTCTTCAAAATTCTCTTAGAAAACGTGCTGAAGTGCACGCATGCGCAAACGTTTTTCTCTAGTGTCACGTACACCTAGTCGAAATATGGCAATCAATAGACATTTTCGGCTTGTGCGTACTGTTTTCGTACTTCAGATCTCATCTAATTCTCTTGAGAATAAGACTTCTTTGTTTTAATTTTCTCCATATTTATGTGTCTTCTCATGCACAGCCGTTAAACAAAGAAATAATACTCTAGGGAATGACACGTGGACTAAAATGGGAAAACATTACGCACAAGTGGATTTGATCAATTACCAATGAACTTACGCATGTTTTCAGCTTTACAAAGAGCAAACTCCACGTCCGGTAGATACTTTGCACATGCTTTTTCCATGCATTCTAGTGGGTCTGTTGCAACATAGCGCACTTTGCCCTTCCCTTCCAGTGCGGCAAGTGCAGATGTAGTGAAAAGACCAGTGCCAGCACCAAGCTCTACTATAGTAACGGGCTGGTCATCTTTTGACAAGATCTTGTTGTCTGCCGACAATATCCCAGTCTGCTGGAGAAGCAATTCTGCAGATTCTACTGTGTATTTGGTCTGTATCTCGTGGTATACATTGGTGTCATCAAAGGCCTTTGCGGCTTTATTTAGCTGAACTTTTAGCTCCTCGGATTTTGGCATTGTAAAATCTAAAAATCAAATAGATATCAGAAGAACTGACCACTGGGCACTGGGCACGTCAACCAAAGACACCCTGGCAGTGACCCTCAGTGTCTACATCTCATACTTCAACGACTTCACAACGTGTTACATGCAAATAAGCTCGAGAGTAAAAGAACATACTAATGAGGCGTTAAATTAACCTTAAATTAGACCTTAGATTAAAATTAAATTAACTTTGTTTATAGAGGATATCACTTGATAAACTCGTGGTCCTCTTTTAAGAGAAGATGTCAGCAAAAATCAAACAAAATCGTCTATGACTATGACGTAACATAAGGGATTTGAGTTATGTTGTTGCAACTTTTAATATTGAACGCTGGACATTTTTTGAAAACAAATTTATAAGAACCTTTATGTGAGTCACGAGTAAAAGGGCGATGCTTTTGAAATATTGTATTCCAGAACGAGTGCAGTGTTGTATATTAAGGTAGCTCCATACAGTTAATTTTTACCGCGAGGGAAATGGGAACGAGTTTTATGATGGCGCGAGCTTTTAAAGCCACGAAAAACAAAATAAAGATGGCGGTGCGCCAAGCAGTTTCAAAAAATGTCGTAAAATTACTTTTCAAAACATGCTGGAATAAAAGAACACTGCAAATAATCCAAAAAAATGTCCAAACAATTACATCAGTGCCTTTTAACGACTCAAGTGAAGCTCAAAACAAGTTCAATTTTAATATTTCGTGCATTATCGATGAGCCTGCGAGTGGTAATTCCGCGAGAAATTCAGCAATATCATGGATGTTCAGTGGGTTTGTATTGGCTGGCACAAATGTTTACCTCGCTCGCTCAGTTTCGCACATGCGCAAATACGGATCTTGTAGAAATTTTATTTTGATGACGTAATTGACTAATTTTTGTGCGCGATTTTTGAAATTAAAAGTCTCGGAAATTTGGCGGTAAAATGTCTTCAAAATTTTACAGTGTTTTTTCGATATCAAAAGCAATCAGCTTGCAAAATATTTAGCGAGTTCTAACGACAGAATGTTTTTAATTGTGAAAAGACAGAAATTGCGTTAAATCTAAGGTTCTGTCGTTGGGATACTTAAGTCGCGGTGTCAAATGATGAAATAAGTAGTATGAATTCACTTAACATATTTAGAAAAAAATTCACCGCGAAAAACTCGAGCTTTAATTTTTTTTATTACAAAAAAGCCTCAATTGAGACTAACGTTACGTTGCTATGGCGACCCGTCATGTGATATTTTTTTGTAAAAACTGAAACCTTGATTTACTAATATTAGTACAATGCGCAAAAAAGGGTCAAAACATACTTTTTTTTTTTTTAATACAGCAATATGTAACATGTACCTCAAAAGCCTTTTAACTATATGGAGCTACCTTAAATGATCCCTTATGTTACGTCATAGCATGCATAGTTAATAGAGGTCATGGTCATAGTCACTAACATATTGGGAACTATATAAACCTTCGTATCTTAAAGGCCCGACGTTCAAATGACGAAATATCTTCACAATCAACTATCCACTATCTAAAGAATCAATTCTGAAAATATTGTGTAAAGGCTTATAAGCTCTTTAATTGCATTTTGATATTTCAAATGTTTATATGTCTGAAAAGAGAAGACTACATAAAAATGTCTGCAACCATACACTGCTCACAATAAGTCATCAGGTTTCTACGCGGGAACAACACATGGGTCAATCTAAACTATTTATTCGACAAGATAGAGCTTATATCTTGATGGCAAAACTCGTTGAAGCCTAGAGCAATCAATTACAGGGGGAACGTACAAAGTATACGAGGAAATAAAGAGGGAAAACTCGATAAAACGCACTGAATTGATAACACGAAGCACGAAAACGGGCGCACGAAACCCACTCACACGTTGGAGCACTACTCTGTCACACAAAAGCGTTACGGGATATCACAATCAACGTAGATCATAATTAACTAATGAATAACTGAAATAATTAAACTATGAGATGAGTAGATAAAAAATCCAAACCATGTTGGATTGAACAATAGATTCACCACGCGTAGCTTCAAATTCAAGCGCTTGAGAATTAATTCATGCTGGGGAAACAAAGGTTTTTATTCTCATGAAAATAAACATGGCTGCCGTGTGATAAAACTCCATGGAAAAAGACTTAGGAATTTTGGAATAGACTTGTTGGGGTTGGTCTCGACAAGTAGTAGAACATGAAAATGTTTTCCAAGACAATTTTCAAGGCGTCCAGACACAATATGAGCAGCCGATCTGTATGCGCCTTTCAACGGCTCGCATCTTTCACATTGTAATTATATTGCTGATTATGCAGCTAGATGAACAAGTGTATAGAGTGACCACAGTAAATCCGTGAAACTTTAGTAATACTAAATAGCACAATTTTATGCCAAATCCATTGTTTTCTATTGTTTATCTAGCACTATTTTGTACTATTTAGTAATTAGTGTTTCACGGATTAATTGTTTGCACTTTGTTAGTAACAAGATAACTGTAAAATTGTAAAATCTTAAGATTTACGCTTTTATACTACAGTTTTCGATATTCCGTGAACTCGGACATTTCAAGGGCTTGTAGTGAAATTGGTTTTTTCACTGCCTCCAGTCAAGAACATAAGGTTCCGACTGATTAATTTTGATTTGACGGCAGCGACTCGGCTACGTCTCGAGTTTGTATATCGGATACAACACGGCCACTCATACTGTATATATTACATAAAAGCCTTCGTCTACGAATAATTTTCAATGAGCAGAAAACAGTATTGTTTTGTTTAACTCATGCTTGTTACAATCGGATGATTGTGCATCTTTCTCAAGCACAATACGGCTAATCGCACCGGCCTTAAAAATCTCTCTATATGCTTCTAAAAACATTAATTTTAACCATTTTAACAGTTTAAGAAGTTCACTTAAGAAGTTCGCTTCTTTAGTGTTCTTGTCTCGAGGTTCGAACGCATTCCCCTAGCCTTACATTCTTCACCAGCACTTATTAGTAACGACCACTGTTATATATATTATCCAACTAGCTTTGGAGTTAATCCTTATCAAGGATCTTACAACAAGAAATTAAACGTTTGAGTCAAAGAAAACAATGTTGTGAGCCCTGCTTACCTAACACAGACGTTTGCACAACTTAGTCAACTTGCTTTGGGTGAAGTAATTAAATGTGTCTTCCAGGCTAAAAGCTGAGACAAACAAAAGCCATAAGTGTGACCAAACCCCCTATATATATATTGTCAACCGACTTTGAAACAACCAATCAGTCCTTGTCTTTAGGGACCATTCATTATTTATTTAAAAATCACTGACGCGATTAAATATTCGTTCTGAATAAATTGTTCCCGCTAGTAATAAGATAATAATGGCGAGAAACATCCATCAAATGCATGTCTTTGGGTTTAGGGAAAGGAAAAAAAAGTAGTTATGATTCAGTTCACAATTCCGAAAATATGAAGGCATTAAAAAAATGTCTCCTTCAACACTTTCGGCTCGCCTACGAAGGTTCGTGCTGTAAACCAGGCATAACTAGTCAGATAAAATTATGGAGTCAACTCGGTTTCAATGATTACTACCCAGAGTTCCTTTCGGTCTAGTCGCGTAGGCTTGAGTTGGTCGACGACAACATTTTTTGAATTGACTGTATCTTAATTCCCTACATAGCTCGGTAATGAGTATGCAGTGAGGATAAGATACTGAACAAATCGACAGTCAACCGGCGGCGCCGTTTTCTTTCATCCTTGTGAACTCGACTGAACTGTCTGAACATATAAGCTTAAACTCCAAGTAGTGCTCTCTTTTGTCTCTATTTTTACGGTCAAAACTATCTTTCCAATATTTTCCACCTTTTTATCTGTTCCTTAAGGGAACTTTCCTAATTGAATGAGTGATAAACTCAGAACGGATTTATTCACAAATACTTAGTTGTCAGATCATTCAAAGCCGTGCCATGTTTACAATTTGCTTAAGATTCTTGTCACAGTGATGATAACAGGGTAAATTATACACCGTGAAAAGATG